GAGGTATTTCTTTCAATTGGTTCCAATCTTACTTGAGGAATAGGAAACAACTAGTTAGAGCAAATTATACTGACTCTAGTCACAAAAGCATTGTATGTGGATTACCACAAAAATCAGTACTGAGTCCTCTACTTTTCCGTATCTTTATAAATGGAATCACTAACTTAAAAATCGATGGAAAAATTTTTACCTGCTGTGATTTGCCAAAAATATTAACCCAATCAGAGGTATCATTGTTTTATTATAAAGTTTAAGGTGTATAATTTTACTTTCTAATCTTTAGTATTGGATCTGAGAAAGGTTATTGTTATTCAAATATTATACTGTTTTATAATTTGTAGATATTCATTTTGTAATAAATAAATCTAACAGATATTATTTTATTTACTTTTTAGATAAGTTTTTGAGTCAAAAAAAAACACTTACAATGATCTTCACCTAAAATTCTTGAAAGAATTAATATTGTAACTCGACCTAAATCAGGACCAGTGATTTTAAAAACAATGCAGTACGTGAAAGTGAAAAGCTGAGGAAAAATTATAAAATATGCATTAAGAAAACTACAAATATACTTCATCTAATTTACATACCGATACACGTCATCGGCGTCATAGCCCGTGACGTCACATGATACCAATACGAAATATTTAGGGGGTAGGTGTGTTCTTTTTTAGAATCACTTTGCCGAGTACACTGGCATTACAGCCACTAGACATATTTTATTATATACGCGTAGAAATAATATTTAAAGATTTCTATTAATGTTAACTTAAAGAAATACACAATAATATGTTTCATTTAATTTGTATAAATGCATTATAAAGCGTTTTTATAAAGAACATTTGTTCGGAACACACTGTAGCTGTAATCGAACGAAGGTGAAATTTTGGCATAAATTGGTAACACTTATTTGACAGTTGCGGTGTTGTCACTTTTTGTACTTTATTATTTTGAATTTTAAAATGAATACCTCTTGTTTTATATTTTTACCTATTTAATAAAATCTGTTCTTTTTAGAACAAAATTAGTGTGTTTTATTTCAAAAATGTCACGTAAAAATTTAAATAGTAGTTGTAAAGAGATGGTAGGGTGTAGGGTTGTGTTATAGAGGTAGTACCTTTTATCGGAACGACCAAATCGAGCGTCATAGACGGGAGATGGTTCTTGATTACTGGTCCTCATAAGACACCCAACTCTCACTTATGGCTCCACGTGCCACACCCTGGGCAACTGCATTGGTCTGCAGGCTAAACTAAGTGAGGGTAACCAGATATGGTGAAAATAGCAACGTCTGTACCCAGAATGGGCGGTTGCAAACGGCGTCTGTTCCATAGTGGGCGGCTGAAAACTAAGCCCTGAAGCGGCATGAAGGAAGGCAACGGGATACCACCTTCATTATATTTCCCAAGACAATCACATGAATACATTCAACTCAAAATTATCCGGAGGTATAAATAGTTCCCCAATCGGATCTCCGGGGGGAGCGGTCTTGAATGTTTCAAACGTACGAGCAAACTTAAGAAAGACATTAAAGATAGGCACCTGGAATACACGCAGCTTATTTGAAGCCGGGAAGCTGGCTAACCTAACTCAAGAAATGAGCAGATTAGATCTAGATATTCTTGGGATCTCAGAAACCTGGTGGCCTGGATCCGGTAAATGCACTACAGAAAGCGGAACATTCTTTTACTCAGGCAATGATAACCGCGATCATAGAAAAGGTGTCGGGATTATGATAACTAAAAGATTGGTGAGAGCTCTGTCACAGAGTTTGTACCATATTCCGACCGCACAGCCTTAGTAAAACTTGAAGCGAAGCCAAATAATCTCAACATCATACAGGTTTATGCACCAACTACAGACGCATCAGATGAAGTAGTGGAAAACTTTTATAGTGAAATCAAAGAACTACTTAAATTGACAAAGAAACATGATGTCAACATAATTATGGGAGATTTTAATTCCAAAATAGGGAAGGGCAGCTTTGAAGACATAGTTGGACCCTATGGTCTTGGAACAAGGAACGAAAGGGGCGACCGACTTATACAATTTTGTCAAGAAGAAAACATGAGAGTTACCAACACATGGTTCCAACTCCACCCCCGTCGCCTATATACTTGGAAATCTCCAGCCGATAGAGCGCATAACATAATAAGAAACCAGATAGACCTTATCCTTATAAACGGTAGATTCAGCACAACTGTCAAAAGAGCTTGCACATACCCTGGAGCAGATGTCCCTTCTGATCACGTACTATTAGTGGCCGTCATAAAGATCGCTCTTTCATGCAAGAACAAGCCTGAAACTCAACAACAGATAGCACTGGATAAACTGAAAGACCCAGTGATACAAGCAAAAATTAGCAATGAAATAAACGCACAAATTCAAATATTAACGACAAACATTACCGAAGATATAACACCAACATGGAATACGATTACAAGTGCTGTAACAGACATCATGAAAAACAACTTAGGGTACAAACGAAATAACAAGAAGCAAAAATGGATGACAGAAGAAATACTATTACTAATGGAAGAACGGCGAAGACACAAGAATAACCAAGATGGCAGCAATATGTATGAAAACATTAACAGGCAAATAAAAGCAAAAATAAGAATAGCAAAAAATGAATGGCTTAAGCAACAATGTATCGATCTAGAACATTTACAAAGACAACACGACGACCGTAATTTACATAAAAAGCTTAAGGAGACTGCTGGAATATACAGAAAACGAAGACCAACTACCATAGTTAATCAGGATAACCAGATAGTGCTGGGTGAAAAGGAGAAAATTGATATATGGGAAAATTATATCCAGGAGCTCTTCCATGACGAAAGACCCATGAGTGAAGTTTATACAGACGACCAGCTGACTGGCCCTTCAATCACCAAAGAGGAGATAGAAAAAGCAATATTAAATTCAAAAAACAATAAAGCACCTGGACCAGATGAGATCCCGTCAGAAATGCTCAAATTACTAGATGAAAGGGGAATTTCAGCACTACACAAAATATTTAATTTAATTTATGAAACTGGCTACTATCCTCAATAGTGGTTACGCTCTACCTTTATTCCCCTGCCCAAGAAAGTCAATGCAAAAAGATGTGAGGATCACAGACTCATTAGCCTGATGAGTCACACTTTAAAGATATTCTTAAAAATACTACATCAAAGATTATACAAAAAATGTGAATGGGACATCAGTGATTCCCAGTTCGGGTTTAGGCAAGGTTTAGGAACACGAGAAGCAATAGTAGCAACACAGGTACTGGTCCAAAATTGTTACGATCAGAGGAAGGATGTGTTCCTATGCTTTTTAGATTACAAAAAAGCGTTTGATCGTGTCCAACACCACAAGTTAATGCAGATTCTCAAGAAAGTTGATATAGACCAAAAAGACATAAGATGCATTGAAAACTTGTACTGGCATCAAACGGCGCAGCTAAAAATAGACAATTCTATATTTAAGCCCATACATATAAGAAGAGGCGTTCGACAGGGATGTGTGCTTTCCCCTCTTTTATTTAACATTTATTCAGAAGCCATATTTCAAGAGTCTTTGGAGGATGCAGAGATGGGAATCATGGTGAATGGAGTATTGATCAACAACATACGATATGCTGATGATGGTGTCTTAATTTGTGACAGCATAGTCGATCTTCAACAACTTGTCACTATAATCGGAGAATACAGTGAGCGAATGGGACTAGAGATTAATACCAAAAAGACCAAATTCATGATCATCTCCAGAAACTTGGATGCATTTGAAAACTCCACCATAACACTGAATAGTAAATCCATAGAAAGAGTGAGTAAATTTAAATACCTGGGATCGTGGCTTTTTGAAGACTGGGCATCGGACAGGGAAGTAAAATGTCGCATTGAGCAAGCTCGACAAGCTTTCGTAAAATTCAAGAAGGTACTGACTTGTTCTGAGTTCGATCTTCAACTGAGACTAAGGTTTACTAAGTGCTACGTATGGTCAGTGCTGCTATATGGCGTAGAGGGCTGGACACTCAAAACGAGAGATATAAACAGATTGGAAGCTTTCGAAATGTGGCTTTATCGCCGTATCCTAAAAATACCATGAACAGCGAAAATCACAAATATAGATGTCCTTAAAAGAATAAACCAAGAACGCAAACTTTTCGAAACCATCAAGAAAAGGAAAACGGCGTATCTAGGTCACATAATGCGAAATGAAAAATACCAGTTCCTCCAACTTATAATCGAAGGTAAAATTGAAGGCAAAAGAGGAATGGGACGCAAGAAAATGTCCTGGCTCCGAAACATAAGGCAATGGACAGGGATTAACGACATACAACCTCTGATACATATTGCAAGAAATAGAGAGTTGATGGAAAATGTGATCGCTAACATCCATTAGTGGATTTGCATCTGAAGAAGAAGAAGAAAGAGATGGTAATACTTTTGCAATAATTATGTGACCTATTTGATTTAAAATGGAGTCAGGATTTTTTTATACTTTGACAACTATGTCAACTTCGATCTCTGTCAGTGATAATGACGTGCATCGGTAAGTAAATTAGATGAAGTATATATTAAAACTAACGAAGTAAAATAATAAAATGTTGTGGAAATTTGTTTAAATCGTTCTCTTCTAAACTAAGCAAAAGTGAGTTACAATGTTTTTCATATCAGGTGTCGATTCGAACCAAAATGTCAAGGTGTAGAAATTTTTGGGCTGGGCTTTTAATTGTTCATTTCTTCGCCATTAAAACAGGCACCCCTGTGCTCGAACTTTTTGGTTTGAATCAAAATCAGCTCGAACGGCTGACGAAGTAGAGATACTGAAATAACATATCGTTCTATTAATTCTGATTCAGACGTGAAAAGTTTGACTAGTTTGTGCTTGAAAAAGTTTTTCAATTACTTTAGGATGTCTGTACCATCTTTTGGTGAATTATACCCAATATTTTAAGTGATAAAATACAACGGATGTTGTATAACCCTAACGAGAAAAACATTTCATCTGAAGAAAGGATTGCAATAACGTTAAAGTAAGAAAACAACACGTTTTTACAATTTTTTTATTACACACAATTGCACATCGTAACATTTGAACTATGTATTGATAACTGGGACATCTCACTATCGACAGATCTAAGAGACAACAGGCTAGTCTCCACAGTTCCCGTAGCTCGGAGAGGCAGATTGGTATATTTTATATTCATAATAGTACAAGTACGTCCAGTACTGTACCCAGAAGTACTGTAGCCGGAAGTACTAAGACCAGTATTGTAGCCACTATTGAGATCACCATAGTTGAACTGCGAGTACTGTGACAATGATTGATGGTTGAAATTCCTTTAGTGTGACGCATGCATGGACTGGTTAGGGTGTGAATTCTTGTCAGATGATAATTCTTTGTATTTTTTTAAAACCGATAGTATTTCTGTTTTAGCATCTAATTTGTAATCATCTGAAATCTTCTTAAAATCACCATGTAATGCTAAGAGAAATAATTTATCATCATCATCTACTTCTCTCGTTGACATATTTTCTTTGCATTTCCTATTTAAATTTTCTGTCAATTGGTCTATTAAATTATCTTCTTTCGTCGCACTGCTTCGCTTTCGGCCTCGTTGTAATGTCGACTCTTCAGAATTGGCTGTTAGTACATTATCAGTTTCAATCTCTCCTTCTAAACTATTAATAGTATCTGCTTTATCATTTGACAATGCTAGTAAAAATGACAGTTGTTGATAGTGTACATATTGGCGTATTTTATGTGCGCCTGAGCCACTTTGTATTTTTTTTGCTTTGCTTACATACCGATTGAAACCGTCTCTTAAAACCTTCCATTTTTTCTGTAGAGCTTTTACTGAAAAATAAAATAATAAACATGATTTTTATTTTTTCAGATATCTGGCAACACTTTTTTTGAAATATAGTTTAACTATAGAATTTCAGCATCGACAATAGGAGAAATCGTCAAAGATGTATGTACGCAAAAATATTTGACTCTATATAAAAACCACATGTTTTGTAGATTTGACTGAAGAGAATAATTGAATGGTGGGCAGCAACAATGTTGTAAGCGACAGATTGGGTCAAAATGAGGTTTTAATGCAATATTGTGGTATATCCAAAGACCAATTCGAGCAACCCTTTCAATCTAGCTAAAAACATTTTGCCTTCCCTGAGTTTTTCTTACCGCAATGTTGGTATCCGTGCAAAAACATTGTATGTACATCACTGTCACACTACTATTACTGTATAATAATGGAGGTTAATGTGTTGCTGTTTACCCTTTTGCACATAAATGGAGGGAAAAAACGCAAAATCAATATCAACCAGTGGAAGAGAAACATCCGTAAGCGTCAGAGAAATGTAGGTGAAGCATATGTATCTGCTAGAAACTGAATCTCCTAAATACCGAAAGTTTTATGAAAAATTAGAATAAGATGGAAGATTTTTTAAGTTTATATTTAAGCAGCATTAAACTCTGTGTACTTAGTATATAAAACATATTAATAAACATTTTGAATTGATTCTAGTTTATTATTAATATTAGATACTTTTTTTAAAACCTAAATAAGCCAAAATATCGCATAGTAATCAGGTACAACACTGTTATATATCCAGTATATACAACATTGTTGCTGGGACATTTTTTGAAATAATTTATCACATCTATAACTTATCAATATGTTCTTTTCATCTCTTGCATAATCTCAATTCTGTTGCTTACAACAATGTTGCAACCCACCATTTAATTGGAAAAACATAAAAATTGGTTTCCAAACACATGCTAACTTTCCAAACTGCTTGGGTGCAATTGATGGTAAACATGTGAGAGTTTTAAAACCAACGGATAATGGGTAAGAGTATTATAATTACTAACACTAGTTGTCTTTGGTATTCATGGTCACATGTGATAGTGATTATAAATTTATGTTCGTACATATTGGATCAAATGGAAGACATGCTGATTCTACAATATTTGAAGACAGTGAATTCTGTAAAAAAAATTCAAGCAAAACACCTGAACATTCCCACTCCCATGAAAATAACAACCACAGGAGCACCAGTCTCAAACATATTTGTTGCAGATGAAGCGTTCAGTTTATGTGTAGCAACAAATTCAATAAGGAGGGCCTACACTGAACTTCTAACATGAGTGAAGAAGGACAATTAGATTTACAGTAGAAATTAATTTAATTTGTTCTTAATTGACACTGCATGGACTAAATTGAAATTTAACTTTATATGTACTTACCAATTTCGAGTTTTTCCTTTACAGTTTTGGCATCAAAATCCATCACAAACTTCTCACAGATAGCAGTCCAAGCACAATTTTTAACAATTCTATCACTGTATGTTTCACATCGATAATTCCATATACATTTCTGTGATTTAATTTCATTTATAAACAAGTCATCATCCAAATCAGCTATATTTTGCACTTTTCTTGAAAGCAGGTAGTATTCTGTAGTGTGTTACAACCATGAATGAATGATTGATACAGAACATGCGAGCAGTCATAGCAGGCAGCTCCAAGCAGCTCATGTGTGTGTGTGTGTGTGTGTGTGTGTGTGTGTGTGTGTGTGTGTGTGTGTGTGTGTGTGTGTGTGTGTGTGTGTGTGTGTGTGTGTGTGTGTGTGTGTGTGTGTGTGTGTGTGTGTGTGTGTGTGTGTGTGTGTGTGTGTGTGTGTGTGGTGTGTGTGTGTGTGTGTGTGTGTGTGTGTGTGTGTGTGTGTGTGTGTGTGTGTGTGTGTGTGTGTGTGTGTGTGTGTGTGTGTGTGTGTGTGTGTGTGTGTGTGTGTTGTGTGTGTGTGTGTGTGTGTGTGTGTGTGTGTGTGTGTGTGTGTGTGTGTGTGTGTGTGTGTGTGTGTGTGTGTGTGTGTGTGTGTGTGTGTGTGTGTGTGTGTGTGTGGTGTGTGTGTGTGTGTGTGTGTGTGTGTGTGTGTGTGTGTGTGTGTGTGTGTGTGTGTGTGTGTGTGTGTGTGTGTGTGTGTGTGTGTGTGTGTGTGTGGTGTGTGTGTGTGTGTGTGTGTGTGTGTGTGTGTGTGTGTGTGTGTGTGTGTGTGTGTGGTGTGTGTGTGTGTGTGTGTGTGTGTGTGTGTGTGTGTGTGTGTGTGTGTGTGTGTGTGTGTGTGTGTGTGTGTGTGTGTGTGTGTGTGTGTGTGTGTGTGTGTGTGGTGTGTGTGTGTGTGTGTGTGTGTGTGTGTGTGTGTGTGTGTGTGTGTGTGTGTGTGTGTGTGTGTGTGTGTGTGTGTGTGTGTGTGTGTGTGTGTGTGTGTGTGTGTGTGTGTGTGTGTGTGTGTGTGTGTGTGTGGTGTGTGTGTGTGTGTGTGTGTGTGTGTGTGTGTGTGTGTGTGTGTGTGTGTGTGTGTGTGTGTGTGTGTGTGTGTGTGTGTGTGTGTGTGTGTGTGTGTGTTGTGTGTGTGTGTGTGTGTGTGTGTGTGTGTGTGTGTGTGTGTGTGTGTGTGTGTGTGTGTGTGTGTGTGTGTGTGTGTGTGTGTGTGTGTGTGTGTGTGTGTGTGTGTGTGTGTGTGTGTGTGTGTGTGTGTGTGTGTTGTGTGTGTGTGTGTGTGTGTGTGTGTGTGTGTGTGTGTTGTGTGTGTGTGTGTGTGTGTGTGTGTGTGTGTGTGTGTGTGTGTGTGTGTGTGTGTGTGTGTGTGTGTGTGTGTGTGTGTGTGTGTGTGTGTGTGTGTGTGTGTGTGTGGTGTGTGTGTGTGTGTGTGTGTGTGTGTGTGTGTGTGTGTGTGTGTGTGTGTGTGTGTGTGTGTGTGTGGTGTGTGTGTGTGTGTGTGTGTGTGTGTGTGTGTGTGTGTGTGTGTGTGTGTGTGTGTGTGTGTGTGTGTGTGTGTGTGTGTGTGTGTGTGTGTGTGTGTGTGTGTGTGTGTGTGTGTGTGTGTGTGTGTGTGTGTGTGTGTGTGTGTGTGTGTGTGTGTGTGTGTGTGTGTGTGTGTGTGTGTGTGTGTGTGTGTGTGTGTGTGTGTGTGTGTGTGTGTGTGTGTGTGTGTGTGTGTGTGTGTGTGTGTGTGTGTGTGTGTGTGTGTGGTGTGTGTGTGTGTGTGTGTGTGTGTGTGTGTGTGTGTGTGTGTGTGTGTGTGTGTGTGTGTGTGTGTGTGTGTGTGTGTGTGTGTGTGTGTGTGTGTGTGTGTGTGTGTGTGTGTGTGTGTGTGTGTTGTGTGTGTGTGTGTGTGTGTGTGTGTGTGTGTGTGTGTGTGTGTGTGTGTGTGTGTGTGTGTGTGTGTGTGTGTGTGTGTGTGTGTGTGTGTGTGTGTGTGTGTGTGTGTGTGTGTGTGTGTGTGTGTGTGTGTGTGTGTGTGTGTGTGTGTGTGTGGTGTGTGTGTGTGTGTGTGTGTGTGTGTGTGTGTGTGTGTGTGTGTGTGTGTGTGTGTGTGTGTGTGTGTGTGTGTGTGTGTGTGTGTGTGTGTGTGTGTGTGTGTGTGTGTGTGTGTGTGTGTGTGTGTGTGTGTGTGTGTGTGTGTGTGTGTGTGTGTGTGTGTGTGTGTGTGTGTGTGTGTGTGTGTGTGTGTGTGTGTGTGTGTGTGTGTGTGTGTGTGGTGTGTGTGTGTGTGTGTGTGTGTGTGTGTGTGTGTGTGTGGTGTGTGTGTGTGTGTGTGTGTGTGTGTGTGTGTGTGTGTGTGTGTGTGTGTGTGTGTGTGTGTGTGTGTGTGTGTGTGTGTGTGTGTGTGTGTGTGTGTGTGTGTGTGTGTGTGTGGTGTGTGTGTGTGTGTGTGTGTGTGTGTGTGTGTGTGTGTGGTGTGTGTGTGTGTGGTGTGTGTGTGTGTGTGTGTGTGTGTGTGGTGTGTGTGTGTGTGTGTGTGTGTGTGTGTGTGTGTGTGTGTGTGTGTGTGTGTGTGTGTGTGTGTGTGTGTGTGTGTGTGTGTGTGTGTGTGTGTGTGTGTGTGTGTGTGTGTGTGTGTGTGTGTGTGTGTGTGTGTGTGTGTGTGTGTGTGTGTGTGTGTGTGTGTGTGTGTGTGTGTGTGTGTGTGTGTGTGTGTGTGTGTGGTGTGTGTGTGTGTGTGTGTGTGTGTGTGTGTGTGTGTGTGTGTGTGTGTGTGTGTGTGTGTGTGTGTGTGTGTGGTGTGTGTGTGTGTGTGTGTGTGTGTGTGTGTGTGTGTGTGTGTGTGTGTGTGTGTGTGTGTGTGTGTGTGTGTGTGTGTGTGTGGTGTGTGTGTGTGTGTGTGTGTGTGTGTGTGTGTGTGTGTGTGTGTGTGTGTGTGTGTGTGTGTGTGTGTGTGTGTGTGTGTGTGTGTGTGTGTGTGTGTGTGTGTGTGGTGTGTGTGTGTGTGTGTGTGTGGTGTGTGTGTGTGTGTGTGTGTGTGTGTGTGTGTGTGTGTGTGTGTGTGTGTGTGTGTGTGTGTGTGTGTGTGTGTGTGTGTGTGTGTGTGTGTGTGTGTGTGTGTGTGTGTGTGTGTGTGTGTGTGTGTGTGTGTGTGTGTGTGTGTGTGTGTGTGTGTGTGTGTGTGTGTGTGTGGGTGTGTGTGTGTGTGTGTGTGTGTGTGTGTGTGTGTGTGTGTGTGTGTGTGTGTGTGTGTGTGTGTGTGTGTGTGTGTGTGTGTGTGTGTGTGTGTGTGTGTGTGTGTGTGTGTGTGTGTGTGTGTGTGTGTGTGTGTGTGTGTGTGTGTGTGGTGTGTGTGTGTGTGTGTGTGTGTGTGTGTGTGTGTGTGTGTGTGTGTGTGGTGTGTGTGTGTGTGTGTGTGTGTGTGTGTGTGTGTGTGTGTGTGTGTGTGTGTGTGTGTGTGTGTGTGTGTGTGTGTGTGTGTGTGTGGTGTGTGTGTGTGTGTGTGTGTGTGTGTGTGTGTGTGTGTGTGTGTGTGTGTGGTGTGTGTGTGTGTGTGTGTGTGTGTGTGTGTGTGTGTGTGTGTATGGGACTTGTGCAGCAGCTCTTTACTGCTGACAGCATGACAAAAGTCGATTGCACGCAAACTGCATTTTTTGTTGTGACTGCATATGAATTGCTTGAGCTATTGTATTGCAAATGACAATTTTGTATTTAAACTGCAAATCAACCAACAGTGACTGCTTGAAGCTGTTTGCACTGACTGCTCTATGGAGGCTCTAATAGATATAGTATGGAGAAACAAGCATCTACAAAAAATTGAAAACAGAAATATAGAGAAAGAAACAACAGCTGATACGAAGAAAACAAAACAGATTCTAAAAAATAGTAGGGAAACCTATAATGGACTGGGTAAGATATGGCACAAAATGGAATGAATATTTGGAATCAAAAATAGGGTTAAATATTATCCCATTAAACACAGGCTATCTTATCGAAAACACAGTATATCTTATCAAAGTATATGAAAACTGCTAACTGTAAAATAGCTTCCCATAATAATAATAATTGAAAGTACAAAAGTAGAAGTGTTGTTTCCTATTTGATCATTTATTGAAAATAGTCTGACTCAAGAATATAAAATCAAACCAATGAATATAGATATTTAAAAACATGTTTTTATACTTTCCTGGAACTCAGCCACTCTTTTTTTGTATTTACCTTTTATATTTGTTTGTTTTTCTTTGTCTGGTGGAAGTTTAAACTCATCTTCAATTTCCGTCTTTATAGGGCATTCCTTTAGGTCTAAATAATCGAAGGAAACATCATACATATTTTCTCTTTTAGGTTCCTGTTTAATTTCAATTTTGCAGGTGTCCAAAGGAACATCACACAGATCATTATTATCTATATGTATTTCTTGTTTACAAAGTCCCTCACTAACTTCTTGTTTTACTTCCATTTGATTAAACTTTCAACTTTGTTTTATATACTTTGGTAATATCGACAAATTTTGTGCGTTTATATTCGACGATAATGAATCTTTAGTGAATTTTTTAAATTTATATGCACAAATTCACATGCACATTACAAGATAGATAATTATTGTGGGTAAAATGACTTGTTTGTTGTTATTTTTAGAGAACTTTATTTTCTCATAAATAGGTAGCATGTCAAATAATTTGACATTTTTCCTCAGCGTTGCCGAATTGTTAGGAAAGTATGAAGAATATAGAGAGTTTTAAACGAGATAAATTGAATTGACAACAAAATAATAAATTATAATAAAGAATTCGTATTATTAATTTAACCCATTATAGGCCAGCATCCTATTTTTAGATCACTGAAAATTTTCTTTTTTCAAACCTTAAAATTTGTTTAAATTTCAAGAAAAAATTTCCATATGTATACTTTAAGCCAGGTCCAGACTATGTAACAAAACATATTAAATAACAAGGTTTTGTAACTTGTTACAGAATTTTAAATAAAAAAGTTTTAAAACACAGTGTTGTATAACATTTTTCTGGTTATATAGCAAGTTTTATGTTATCCAACAGTTGTCGGTAAACATCAAAGAAAGTTATAAAACATTGTTGTAAAACCGCATCGTGACTGATCTACACTTAAAAACATGTTATTGAAACATTTCTTTGGCATAGTACGCGAGCAGAAACCGTTTGAGTCATATCGCCCTGTTCATTCTGATTCTTGAGTGGTTTTGCTAAATTTTTCTTTGCTCTGTTCACGTGGGGTTATTTCTTATTTACGCGATGAAATGGTCGAAAGAACTGACTACTCATTTAATTGGGCTATTTTGGGAACAACGAGTATTATGGAATCCTACATTCATGGATTTTAAAAACCGAAATAAAAAACCCAATGCATGTACTGAAATAACCAGAGAAGTGGAAGCAGATACAAGCGAAAAAGTTGAAAAAAAATGTACGTATGACGCCATTTTATATACTGCGTAACCTACCAGACATCCAGCTAAAAGTTATGCGCATTTTGTTGTGTTGTTTCTAGTTATATAGTCTGGATGCTACGTTATATTATAACAAGTTACAAAACAAATTTGTTGTACAACTTTGTTATTTAACATTGTTTGTTACATAGTTTGGACCCGACTTTAGGCTGTTAACCCGGTTTAATTTATTTACGGCAACTACAGACATAATATGCACTATTTTATTCATACTTTTAGTTGAAGAATAGATTAAATTATTTCAAATGTACTAAATTATTAATCTCTATAAATTTAAATTGCAGTTCTGTCGTAGCTTGTCACAAATTTCTCAATTCGAGTCTATGTTTCCGTCTAAAACATGGCGTTCGCGTGCTGACAAACTTCAAAGGCGGCCTTCAAAGCAAACTAAAAAGTACCCTACATGGAAACTTATATAAAAAGCAACAATTATTTGGAATAATTCATGTGAAACAACTTTCAATAAATTAAAAGAAGTTGCGAGTGATCAAATTTTGATTTCATATGATCAAAGTTTGCTCGTAATATTAGCTTGTGATGTAAGTCCAACCGGTGTTTCAGGGGTACCAGCTAATGTTGGATAATATAGAAAGGCCTAATATATAAAACCTATAGCTTCAAGATCTTTTACCAAATGTGAACAAAATTATTGTAAATTAGACAGAAAAGCACTTGCAATTGTTTTTTCGGTAAATCACTTCTTCATGTATCTTTTTGGGTGTAAAGTTAGACTCATCACTGAGAATAGCCCTCTGAAAAGAATTTTTCATCAAAATTCAAAGTTGCCTTCAATGACTTCTTCTAGACTTCTTCGATATTCATCAGTTTCAACCTCAATTTTTAACATGAAGAAAACTAAAAGTCCAATTTTCCTATAACCTTAAACTTTTGAGCTTTAGGACTTTTTAAAACTTATTATTTCTATTATAATATTCATTAATTAAAAGACAAATCGAGGTTTTAATTGTTTATTATCACAATATGTACAATGCTTTCAATTAAGATCCTTAATTCGATACTTTCAGCACAGTATAAAGAGGTTCCAGTGGAACCTCTTTATAGTGTGCGTTCAGCTAACAGTAGAAGACTGTTCATTGAATGAGGTTTTCTCCTCATGTATAATTCTGTGTTTTTTTAAGACGGCATATCGCGAAAATTGTTTGGGGCAGATTTCACACGTGAAAGGTTTCTCTCCAGTATGCGTTCTCATATGATTATTTAAATTAGAACTTTGCGAAAACTGTCTGGAGCAAATTTTACACGAAAACGGTTTGTCTCCACTGTGTTTTCTCATATGTATTTGTAAAACGTACCTTCGTGAAAACTGTGTTTTGCAAATTTCACATGTGAAAAGTTTTTCTTTAGAGTGAGTCAGCATATGTTGCTGTAAAGTGGAACTTCTGGCAAACTGTCTGTTGCATATTTCGCATGTGAAAGATTTGTCATCACTATGCACTACCATATGCTGTTTCACATTGTCTTTGCTCGAAAATTGTCTGCTACAAATTTCGCATATAAAAGATTTTTCGCCAGTGTGTACTCTCATATGTTTCTGTAAGAGGGAATTTCGCGAAAACTGTTTGATGCAGATTTCACACTTGAAAGGTTTTTCTCCAGTATGCGTTTTCGTATGTTGTTTTAATTGAGAGCTTGTTGAGAAGTTTTTGGTACAAAATTGGCATACAAACGGTTTTTCGCCAGTGTGTATTCTCATATGTACTGTTAAATTACCACCGAATGAAAATTGACTATTACAAATTTTACATATATACGGCTTTTCCCCATTATGAACTCTCATGTGTCTTACCAAGTCATCACTTCTTAAACACATTTTAAGGCATATATTACAAGTAAAAACGTTTTCTCCAGTATGCGATCTCATATGTGTTTTTAAAGATGATTTCCGTGAAAACTTATCGCTGCAAATATCGCACTGAAAAGGTTTTTCCCCGGAGTGTTTTCTCATATGTATTTTTAAATTGGAACTATTCGAAAACTGTCTTGTGCAAATTTCACATATAAATGGCTTTTCTCCAGTGTGCATTTTCATATGTTGCTTTAATTTAGACTTTGTTGAAAATTGTTTGCTGCAAATTTTACATACAAAAGGTTTTTCCCCGGTATGTACTGTTTTATGTTGTCGTAAAATGGAATTTGTCGAAAAGTTTTTGTTACAAATTTTACATGCGAATGGTTTTTCTCCCGTATGGCTTCGTAAGTGAATTGTTAACTCCAATTGCCTTGGAAATTGTATAGAGCAAATGATACATGTGAATATTTCTTTGCCTTTGTGTTCTCTGATATGTATCTCTAAATTTTTCTTTTTTGTATAGCTTTTAGAGCAAATTTTGCAAGCCAAAAGTTTGTCATTAGTCTGTATATCTTCAGAAGAAGTACCTAAAATTATGATTCTATGTTAAATAAGTATTACCTAACAAAAATAAAATAAAAAAGGTATTATTAAATAAGACTAATTTAAGAAATATGTATTTTTGTAAGTAATGGTACTGCTTATACGGGTAGTTCTCTCTATACTTTACTACTTCAGGCATGCAACCCTGCTCACGTGAACCATAATTATCGCTCAATCTCCTGGTATCTAAGAGACCAAAACTTTCACCGAATTACCAAAGTTTCCCTTTCTATACTCTACTCCGATATTGGGCAGCATTAACATCAATCAGTATCAAACTATGAGCCATAATACGATATAAAAAGAATCAAGGCTTTCGAACTCTGGTTATAGCGCAGAGTATTAAAATATCATGGACTGATAGAATTACAAATAAAAAAGTACTGGAGAGGGTTTGTAAAGAAACATAACTAATCATCACTGACCAAACAAGGAAACTGAGATGTCTACGTCATGGATTGACCCAAACAGTAAAATGAATCTAGTAAAAGACCATGTACCTATTTCATGGTACATGGATCAAAGGGTACAATGTATCATTTCAATGCAAAAGTAGGCGAAAAATAAAGCGAATGGCGAAAATTTGATAGGAGAACATGGACTTATCGAGCGCAATCAAAGAGGGGAAAGGTTAACCAAATTTGGCCAAGAAAAAGAAATGGTAATAAAGAAAATTATAGAAGAAGAAGATTATTTAGGTGCTGATGTAGCTTAAGATCACAACCCAGTTGTTACTGAATTCAGGTTAAATCTAAAACAATCTAAACAGAACCAAAATATAAACATAATTTAACATTGAAAAAAGGATAAATCGAGAACCACTGCCAGCTACATCTGATAAGAGAAAAGGTCAGGATGCAAACATCCAATCGAAGAGCTTAAAAACAGCTATATAACAAATAGGTAAAGATGAACTGGGTAATGACCGTCGCTAGCACCTATTTTGAACATAAGGATATACACACGGTAACCTGGACCTCCCCTGATGGAAGAACAACTAGTCAGACTGATCAAATCTTAATAGATTGAAGATACGGAACGGACATAATGAACTGCAGAAGTTATAGAGGTGCAAATATAGACTCAGACGACTGTTTAGTGATCTCAACACTAAGGGCTAGAATTTCAAATTCCAAAAAAGAAAAAAAAATAGATACAAAGAAATGGAATGTACCGAAGCTGAGAGATGCAACTACTGCAAAACAGTACTGCAAAATGTACCGAAGCTGAGAGATGCAACTACTGCAAAACAGTACTGGGAAAATATTACCAATAGGTTAAGAAATCAAAGTCCAAGCGAAGAAGACCAGAGAGATATAGACTCCTACTGGAACACGATAAAGAAAGATATTGAGTCAGCAGCACAAGATGAAATAGGAACAGAAACTTGTACCCGAAAAAATTACTGGTTTGACGATGAATGCAAAGACGCAACACAGAAAAAAATGAAGCTTATGCAAAAATGCTTACCCGCCGGACTAGAACAAGTGTAGAGAATTACCAGACAAAGATAAGAGAAGAAAAGAAAATACACAGAATGAAGAAACGAAACCACTTAAAAAAGGAACTTCAATTTATAGAAAACCTCAACAGAGAGAAAGAATTCAGAACATTCTATAAGAAAGTTAACATCACCAGAAAAGAATTCAAGGCAAACACAAATCAATGTAGAAGTTTGAATGGCGATCTATTAACAACAAGAACAGACGTACTAAATCGATGGACGGAA